TCAACTGAATAAGTCCATCAATAAACCTCCTCACCCTCTTTCTCTCTCTCTCTCTCTCTCTCTCTCTCTCTCTTTCTCTCTCTCTCTCTCTCTCTATCTATGGGAAGTATGACAAGAGCATGACGAACCAAGTCGATGAATCTAGTCTCACACTGGGTAACAGTCATGAAACCCTACTGGAGACACTCAAACTACCTCTGATAGGTCTCTCTCTGAGTGATGGGGAGAAACTTCTCCAGAAATAGCTGAGTAAACTGCTCCCAAGTCAAAACTGGTGATCCGACTGGTCTAGCCAAAGAGAAATCCCTCCACCAAATCTTGGCGGATCCTCACAAGCGAAAAGTAGCAAAGTTGACCCCATTGGTCTCAACTATCCCCATGTTCCTGAGAACCTCATAACAGCTGTCTAGATAATCCTAGGGATCCTCAGTAGATGCACCACTGAAAGTAGTAGTAAGGAGCTTGGTGAACCTGTCCAACCTCCACAAGGCATCGGTAGACATAGCTGCTCCATCACTGATCTGAGCTACCACACCCAGCTAAACTGCTCCACCTGGCTGAACTGCTGGAGTCTGAAACTGGGGAGCTACCTGCTCTTGGGTGTAAGTAGTAGGAGTCTGGGCTCCTCCTCCAGCCTAAGAGACGGCTGGTACTACAGGAAGCAAACTTGCCCAGGTGACACTCTCCATAAGGCCCACTAGATAGACCAGAGCATCCTAAAGTACTGGGGTAGCAATAAACCCCTATGGGACCTAAGCTGGGCCCACCGGAACTGCCAGGGCCGGAACCTCATCATCAAAGTCAACCTGAGGCTCCGCTGCGGGTGATGCTCCCCTGGGATGAGCTCTGCCCCTACCTCGGCCTCTAGCACGGCCTTGGCCTCTGCCCTCTTGGGAGCTGTTGCTGGGGGCTCGGGCTACTGGTCAGTGGATGAGGAAGCGCGTGTTCTCGCCATCTGTGAAAGAACAGAGTAGAATTTTAATTAGCATTGAGAAACCAATCCGCACGACAGGAAAGAATAAATGTGGAATGTTTCCTAACTCTGTAGCCTCTATGGATAAATACAGACGTCTCCATACTAATCCCTCAGACTCTACTAAGCTTGTCTGTGAATAGTGAGACCTATGTAACCTAGAGCTCTGATACCAACTTGTCACGACCTGGATTTCCCACACTCAGGAGTCGTGATGGCGCCTACTCGTAGAAGCCAAGCAAGCCACTAAACATAGAAAATTTTTAACTCTTTCATTTTTAACCCTTTTTAACAATCTGAATTAACAGGTATCCAATATTTAGATATTAACGATAAATGAAATCAAGCGAAAGACTTAATCTAATATAATAACCAAGACCAATACGATAATAAAAACACACATCTCTACCCAGAATCTGGTGTCACAATATCACGGACGGACTAAAATTACTACAACAAAAGTCTGAAAGAAATACAATCTGCCTCGAAATCTAATGAAAACAAAGTACATAATAAAGTAGAAGAGAACGTCGGGCCTGCGGACGCCTGCACGACTACCTCAGGATCTCTGGCTGGACTAAAGGCAGGCTCCCCAAGTGCTATTGTCCAAAAGCTGCTCCGAAATCTGCACATAGTGCAGAGTATAATATCAGCACAACCGACCTCATGTGCTGGTAAGTGCCTGGCCTAACCCCGGCGAGGTAGTGACGAGGCTAGGACCAGACTCTAGATAAACCTATGTAGTATATAATATACGACGGAAAATAAACAAGAATAAACAATTAACATGGGAGGGGTACATGCTACGGGGGAAATATCGAATCTAGCAGAAACTTAAGAGAAATATGATATAATAATTCAAAATTTAAAACAAAACCATAATAACAATGTTGTGGCGCGCAACCCGATCCCTCTCATTTAACACTGTTGCGCCGTGCAACCAGATCCATTTATATCACTGTTGTGGTGTGCAACCCGATCTAACATAACATTTATATACTTTTAGCAACAACCATACCAAGAGTCCCGACAAGGGATCAACAATAAGCTATACTATCCCAGCAAGGGATTCGATAGTAAAATTAAATACGTCCCGGCGAGGGAGAAACAGCTATAACCAATCTTAACCCAACTTCTACTTATCTCAATTAACACCAATACTCAATCATAAGTAATTTCCATGAAAATAAACTTAATCTTTGCTCAATATCGAGAATCATCAATTAAAGCATCCGTAGTACTATTTAAGAACACAAAATAAATTGCAATTTAAGACTCACGGTCATGCTCGACACCAACATATAGATACTCGTCACCATGCCTATACGTCGTACTCAACAAGAAGCAAATAGGACACAACTCCTAATCCCTCAAGCTAAGGTTAGACCGAACACTTACCTCGAACTTCCACGACCAACTCAAACCTCAAACACCGTCTTTCCTTTTGAATTTGACTCCAAATCAATTGTATCTAGACATAATCGACTTAATAACATCAATAAACGCTAAACAATCCAATTACAATGCTTAATTATAGTTTTTCCATCATTCTTCCCAAAAAGTCAAAAATTGACCCCGGGCCCGCTTGGCCAAAATACGAGGTTCGGACCAAAATCCGATCACTCATTCACCCACAAGCCTGAATATATATTTTGTTTTGAAATCCGACCCGAAAACGAGGTATAATTCCCAAATAATCAAAAAGCCCTAACTCTACCCAAATCCCTAATTTTCTACCCTTAGTCTCATGTTTTAGGCCTAGAAATCTAGTGGGTGTTGATAAAAATGGAAGAAAACGAGCTTAGGATTACATACCTATGAAGCTATGGTGAAGTTCCTCTTCAAAAAATGCCCAAGAGGTGTGGAGAAGATGAAGTTTATGAAAAATGGTGGAATTCCCGTAATACATTGTGTTTTTGGAACTTAAAATAACTGGGCGTATTTGCTCTATGCGTTCGCGATAGGCTCATCGCGTTTGCGATGAGCTAGGCCTGAGAGACCTTCGCGTTCGCGGAAATAGGCTTGCGTTCGCGGAGAACTAACTCATCGAGCCTTCGTGTTCGCGTCCAGGTGGTCGCGTTCGCGTAGGTATAATACCCTCCCCCTGCCCAGGCTCATAAGCCATCACGTTCGCGTATGCTGGGTCGCGTTCGCGAAGGGTATCCCCCCTTAGCCTCGCATTTGCGAAGAAGAAATTTGGCACCTGGGAGATTTGACTTACGCATTCGCGAGTGTGTCCACGCGAACGCGAAGAGAAAAATCCCTGGGCACTGAACAGCAAAAACCTGCAACTTTTATGAGTTCAAAAACCTTCCAAAATACATCCGAGCCCTCGGGGCTCCAAACCAAACATACGTACTAACTTAAAAATATCATATGAACTTATCTGTGCGATCAAATCGCCAAATTAACCCCTTAAACAACGAATTAAACCTCAAAATTAATAAAATATTTCAAAACTTCTTAAAACATCAAATTTTGCATTTAAGGTCCGAATCACGCCAAATGGATTCCGTTTCTTACCAAACTTCACAGAATTATCTTAAATCACATATAAGACCTGTACCGGGCGTCGGAACCAAAATATGGCCCCTATACCAACATGTTCTAATCAAAATTTGTTATTGTTTACATATTTTCACATATAAGCTTTTCGGCTACGCGCCCGGACTGTGCACGCAAATCGAGGTGATGCTAAAAGAGATTTTTAAGGCCTTGGAACGCAGAATGCAATTTATAAACAAGTATAACATTCAAACGTCAAATATGTATTTCTGCTCAATTGTACCGAAAATCCTAGCACTATTATATATTGTGTCGTTTGTGAATATAATTATTACCATTTAAGAAAAAGAAAAAAATTGAGATGGACAATAATAGGTACATATGTACGTGTGATACATCCTATGTACTGCTCAAAATACGTTTTTAGATAAAAGACAATATATATATATATATATATATATATATGATACATGCATTCTAATGTATTGCTCATAACACTTTTTCGGATAGAGACAACTATATGTTTATCATACATTCGATGTACTGCTCGTAATAAATTTTCTTATGCACGCTAGCAAGAGAAACGACAGAGGCGGACCCAGAATTTGAGTATAACGGGGACACCATTGTCATTAGAGTGAATTACCCAAAGCCAATAAAAAAAATATATAAACTCTATGATAGAGCAGTAAATAAGCAGCACAATCCACTATATAATATAAACTTGCTAAGCAAAAAAACTAAAATAAAGTAAGAAGATCTTATGCTTTGATTTCATCATACTCCCCAATTGACCCGTGAACACAAACTTCGATTTCATCAGACTCCCCAATTAATCTGCGAATTTTTAAAAAAAATAAGCATTCCAAGAAAATAAATAACTTCTTGCACATCCTTGCGCACACATGGACTAAACTGGAATAAACTTTATAAGATAAAACAAGCGTAGTGGCCTTAATAACAATTCCTGACATACTAATAGTAATATCTACTGTTATCCAAAAATGAGAACTAAAGAAGACACAATTTACATCAAAAGACAAACTTCAATGTTATAGAATATCTTTAATTGATACTAATATAACAAAAGTACATCATCCACTTATACTTGAATTGGACGTTTTTTCATACTCTGAAAACGATCAATAATAGCATCATTGCTTACATTTGTAAATACTTCTTTTTCAAAGTAACAAAATAAATAATCATTTAAAAATGCATCACCAATACTACTACGCAATTCATCTTTGATGTACTTCATGGATGAGAATGCTCTTTTTACCGTTGCAGTCGCGACAGGTAAAATTAGAGTCAACTTCACTAGTAAATAAACAAGTGAATATGTCTCCACAAGATTTGCCTCAATCAACGCTTTTTCCAAGTCACTAATTCCTTTCAAATCTGAGAATCTAGGGCCACCATGTTGCATGTGCACTATGAAAGTGTCAAGTTGGTGACTAAGATCTCGAAGCTTCAATTCGCCAAACTCATCTGGATAATACTTGTCCAAGGTCATTATTCTTTATTTGTCAAAATTAGCAACCGAGTTAGCCAGATTCAAGCTAGCCATACCAAGAAGCAAGTTACCACTAACAACATCAAAACGACGGTTAAGCTCCTGAACTTGCAAATCGATCACTGTATAAAAAATCTCAACACGTAAGTGATATGAATAAGTAACACTAGAAGACCTACGCTTCGACTTTCCAGGAATATAGAATTCTTCCATATTAGGCACCAAAATGTCATGTTTAGTAAAAAAACAAATATACTTCATCCATTAATGGTTTCCATCCTTCATCTCTCATTTGTTGCAACCTTTCCTTTGTAAGGTCAAGAAATAACATGGCATTGACAATATCTTGCTCTTTCTTTTGTAAAGCTTTACTCAGCTCGTTCGACATCAACAATACCTTCAACATCAAATGAAGCAAGAATACGAATTCAAATGAATTGATTTACTCAAAAAAGCTTGTGCTTGCAATCTATCATTAGCCTCTTGACCTTCATATTCAATCACCCCAAGCACATGAACGATAGATGCAAATAAAACAACAAAGTTATCTAATGTTTTACAATATGATCCCCAACAAGTGTCACTTGGCCTTTGAAGCTCTCGCTCTTAATTTAATCCTTTCCCACTTTGAACTTTACCACTCTCTAGCAATTGCTCCAATAATTTGGCATGATGATCCCGAAGTTGATCTCTACGTTTAAAGGATGCTCCAATCACAGTCAACACATTAGCAACTATAGCAAAGAAAGTTTCCACCTCCTTATGTTTTTTAACAACCCCTACAAGCGTCAACTATAATTGATGAGCGAAACAACGAATGCAATGTGCCGAAGGAGTTTCTTGCAAAATTAAAGCTTTAAGACCATTCATTTCTCCTTGCATATTACTAGCTCCATCATAGCCTTGTCCACGTATTTTGGATAGACTTAGTGAGTGTTTCATAAGCAAAGAAAGTATTGCTTCCTTCAACGACTTTGCGGAGGTATCATGAACGCGAACAAGACCAATAAATGGCTTGTTCACTTGGCCTTTTTTGTAAACATACTGCAAAGAAAGGGTCATTTGTTCATGGTGTGAAATATCTTTGGACTCATCAACTAATATCCTGAAATAATACCCATCCAAATCATTGATTATAGCTTTCACGGTTTCTTGTGCACAAGCACTCACAATGTCCTTTTGAATTTTTTGGCGAAGTCATCATATCATTTTTTGGAGCATGTTTCAATATGACTCTATCTACTTCAAGGAGCCTCTTTGCAAGCCATACTAAAAGCCCTAGAAAAAGGCCTTTGTTTTTTGAAGAATCACTATCATCATGACCTCGAAAAGACAATCCAAAATACAAGAGAAACCTTACAACATCGATTGATACATTTACACGAATTCGGTGCTCATTTCTTTGTTTCTCAGATTGCTTATCAAAAGCAACTTGAATTGATTGGGATTGATTTGATAAGTCTAGCATCTTGTTGAAACACGTGTGGTAGAGGCTATTTACTTTACCAACATTTAAATCAAGTCTTTTCGAAGCTTTATTCCAAGCCTTAAAGCCCGTTTTTGTGAAAGAGTCACCCGTGCTTCCATGAACATAATCATTTTTGAATAAACAACAACATAAACAAAATGCAGCATCTTTCTTCACACTATACTCCAACCATCTAGAATAGGAACATTTAAACCAACTCGAACTAAATTGACGCATTTTATTCCCGAATAAAGTTTTAGGAAATTTATGATCAACTGGTTGGCAAAGTCCATTTTGAATGTAGTGTCTTCTTACGCCATCCCGTATTCTAAGACTATATTTATGAATGAGTACTCTCTCTCTAGGGTCGGGATTGAGTAATTTCTCATCAAACTCATCTATAAGATGAGAGGAATTGTTTCTAAGACTAGAACTTGGTTGAGAAGAATTAAACTTCGTGAAAAATACGTCCATCTCAATTCACAAGAACAAGAACTTCCTATAAAAAATGAGTTCAATAAATTTAATAGTCTATCAAGAATAGAAATTCATCAAATCAAAAAGGGTCAAAGCAGAAACCACATCAAAGCAAAGCAGAAACCCAATATACAGAGATTTCATCCATAAGTAATTGGATGTTAGCTGAGCTAAGTATCATATGATAGTGATTAATTTATTGAAAAGTTAGCAAAAATAAAATGGTTGCGATTCTGACTTTTAAAGGCCCGTAATCATCAACAAGGCCAATTACAATCAGCAAAGTTAATAGATGTATGTATTCATCACTTTATAATTAGAATGCAGGCGTATTTTTATTTATTTATTTATAACATTAGAGAAAATTTGATTTAATTACCAGTGGCAAACCAAAATTTTGGGGATTCTTGAACAAAAAGTTTTAAACCTAAATAAAATCATATAAAATTCATCCACAATTCTCCATGCTCTTACAATTTATAAATAAAAATTAAGTTTCAAAGTAAGAGAAGCACTAACCAGAGATTCGATGCCCGCTACTTTTTCAAAGTAATGAGAGGAATTGAGATTGAGGAAGAATGATTCTCTATTTTGGAGTGAGGAGTGATGGCTGAGGAGTGAAGACTGAGTTTGAAGGAGGGGAGCTTCTGAGTTTGACGGAGGGGGCTGGCCGACTGGGGAGCTTCTGCATTTGATCGAGGAAGAACTAAGAAAGGTTTAGGGATTTAATATTTTGGGGCTTTTGGGTAGGATTTTGTAGAAGAACTAAATAATAAAATTGACTATTATCTATAACTATTAAAATATAATAAAATTGAGAAAAGGTAAAATAAAAAATTATAAATTAGTCAATTGTTGAGCAGTGACTAATAAATAGTACTATTGTACTAATATATAATTGATTATTCCAAAAAAGTGAAAGAAACTAAAAAAGAAATATTTGTGAAAAGGGGATTTTGAAACCCAGTCCTTCGTAGCAAAACGAAGGAAAACACTATTGAGATAGGCGGACCATTGCTCCAAGCAGCATTCAATTATAAGGGGGCCAAGAAAAATATTTAAGGGGTCCCTAAAATATATACAGTTATACATACAATATATATACAGGGTTTTTGTCGAGATTAACGGGTTCACGTGACCCCTCAAGGCCAAGTGTAGGTCCGCCTATGAGAAACGACATAGAGAGGTCATCAATGGGAAGGGAAATAGAGAAAAATAAAGATAGCAAGAATTAAAAATAGATGATACACATATATAACGTGCAAAACACGTGCAAGAAGGAATATGCAAATGAGACAGAAAAACTTTATTAGAATTTATAGAGCCGCTCGAAGATTATAAATGGGCTATACTTTTAGATGTTTTGCTCTCTTATACAAGAAAAATCTTGTACTACTTTTAGGTCGTTTATGATTATATATAATTATTACCGTTTAAGAAAAAAAGAAACTCATGTGATATCTCACATGTATAACGTTCAAACATTGATTTTGCTCACTTGTACAGAAAGTTCCTGCACTATTATTGTCGTTTATGAATATAATTATTATCGTTGAATAAAAAAAAACATGTGATATCTCACATGTATAAACGTTCAAAATGTTGAGTTTTTTTGTTTAAGATGAAATAGTCTTAAAATTATAGTGAATGGGAAATGGGATTTGTATTCGGATTTGGTCAAATGATCGATCGATTGATTAATTTTTTTAACCAAATTTATTTGTTAATAGTGAATATTAACGTGATATAATCCGTGTTTGTAACGGATGTTTTCCAATCCATGTATTGTGTTGCAAAACTAAGCAATAAGCAGCCTAGTGCACCTCCCACAACGGTGCAAGTGCTCCTCCCACCAAGCAAGTGTACATTCCACCATGTAAGTGTTTCCTCCATAATAGCCTAGTGCTTGTTGCACCATGGAAGGGGTGGATTTCTCTCAAATAACTGCTATAAATAGAGCATAAGTTGGAGAGAAAGAAGAACACATCGGAAAAAACACTCGAAACACTCTGTATACACTTAATATACACTCTGTATACACTGAATATACACTCTGTATACATTGGATATACACTCTGCATATACTGGATATACACTCTGTATACACTGCGTATACACTGGAAAAACGAATTGCAATTTGATATTCTCTTCAGTAAGAATTCAACATTGGCTATACTTTGCATTCCTTCCTCTCAGAATTTTCATTCGACTTCTGAGTTATCCTCCTTATTCTGCATTGTTTTTAACTACAAACAAAGCATTCATAAGTGTGATTTGCTGCCGAACTTTGTGTTCGCTGAAACACTGGGGTTTGAAGTACCGCTACACCAGTGTGTAATTCGTTCTATCCTGGGAGAAAATAATCTATAACCTTGGGTACTAGGAGGGGATTAAATTCCTTAAAGAAACTCTGTGAATTCAGTGGGCTCGAATTAATTTCTGTATCATTTAAATTTACGTTTATAAGCTAACGTTCTAATTTCCAGAATTATTATTTACAAATACAGGATAACCACGGATCCAACACAAAACAAATACTTTGTGCACTTGTACGAAAAAAATCTAGCACTGCTTTTATGTCGTTTATGAATATAATTATTATATTTAAGAAAAAAATAAATTCATGTGATACCTCACATGTATGGCATTCACAACGCGTATTTCAAACATATCATATTGAATAAAAGAAAAACTTTAATAAAAAAGATCTCTTTAGTGGAGATTAGCAAGACAAGCTACAGAGAGAGGCAGTATATCAGCGGAAAAGGGAAACTGGAGAAAAATAACATGAGTTTCTTTTAAAAGGATTATAGCGTCCAAAACACATTAGATACGACATAGAGATATAGTGTATTAATAGGAAAAGAGAAATAGAGAAGAACAAAGATATCATAAGTCAAAAATGAATGGTACACAACATGCAAAACACGACCATCATTTTGAACGAAAGACATGCTTTCATAAAAGATAATTCCTTTAAATGAGACTAGCATAAGAGGTATTTTATTTATCGAAAAAGAGAAATACAAAGATAAAAAGATTAAAAATTTATATATGGGTTCAAATTCATATAAGATAGATCACGTATAACGTGCAAAACACGTGTTTCATCTCTTGTGCATATGTTTTTGTAATACATTGAAATGTAGGGATGCTTAATAATTATGCTTAACGGTTCGGCTTATCGGTTATCGGATTATTAATGTAGTAATCCGCTAGCCATCCAATAAGACAACAAGCGGATTGGTATCAGATTAACGATTATCGGGCAGTTTATCAGCTAAATCAAATAGAATTTTTTTTTAACAATCCTAGTCTTGTAAATACCAAACGGCCAAACTCTATAGTTCACTGACTATTATCATTTCAACTTACCATTCATAATCCTCAGTACATACTCAATGAAGACTTGTCATGGAGTATACAGAGCAGTCTCTGGAACAAATTTTTTGAATACTCTAAATAAAAGTATAGGTAGGTCCAGTCGATTTCTCCATTTTTCTCCGGAGAACACACCAAAAATTCCATCTCAACAAACATGGAAACACACAGACGATTAGCAAAATTAGACAACTTCGTAGGACTCCCATAATATTCCAATAAATTTATGGAAATGATTGCAAATTTATTAAACGTACTGCTTCCATTTTCTTGAACTGAAGTAGTCACCATCATGTTAATTGCACTATATAGTGAAACTGAATTTTGGTCGAACAACCGATAACCGTCATGAATAGAGCCAATCTTTCTCCAAGATACATCTTATATACTACTCGTAATATATATTTGTATGTACTCTAGCAAGAGAAGCATTTTGAGAAAGGTATTGTATCACTAGAAAAGAAAAATAGAAAATAGCAAAGATAGCAAAAATTAAAATAACTGGTACATATCATGTGCGTTACATTATGTAAAATGTGCAAAATAGTGTTTCAAGAGCATCAATTTGAATAAAAAAAAATTCCAAAAAAATGATTCCTTTAACGGAGACTAGCAAGAAAGATAATGTCTTGAATATTTTTGTTTCAATAAAATTATTGGACTTTTGTCTATAATGTTTTATTACAACATATAGTTTATTTTGGAAGTAATTCAAATATGTAGAATTAATCATATGTTAAGATTTTTTGATTTTTTTGTATTTCTTTTCGCACTAAAATTTGCACAATTTTTAAATTTTACCGTATTAAATTGTTATTAGCATTTTATTTTTCCTCTTTGTTTTGAATTTTGATGGTAAGATCTGAATGGTTTAAAATTGACAATAAGTCATAAAACACTAAATGTTCCCATATCAATTGACATTGTTGACCAGAAGAAAAAAAAATTAACACTATTTATAAGCACCAAATTTAGTTTAAGTCGGTAGTGCACCCATGAACTTAAAAACCTGGATCTGCCTCTATTTGAATCAATGGCTAAATAATTGAGAATGGATAAAAATGACAAAACTCGTTCCGTTGATTAGCAACATTTAATTTATCAGGTAGAGTTGTTAGGGAGAAATGGGTGCCGTTGATTTTGGGTGAAAATGGAGATGGAAAGTGGGTTTAGTGTGGTCGAAGAAGATGACGGTAAGAAGCGGTTGGACGGGAAAGAATTTCTGATTTTTTTTGTGGAAAAGATTTTTTAAAGTTAATTTTCCACGTGTCACATTCTAATTCGTCATTTTTGCCAAGTTATTGAGTTTGAAATTCACGCACCTTATATCTATGAGAGATTGTCAGCTATGTATTTAATAGATACACATTGAATTGAATGAGGTTCAAATATCTAATAGGTACAAATAGCTAGGTTAAAATATGGAATTTTTACATTCCTATGTCACATAGGAAATCTTATT